GTTTTTGAAGTCTGTTCTTGTGCATGATCTGTGCTTCAAAGAACAGAAGCTGGGTTATTCTACAATGAATGGTTATGAGTTTGAATCTAACACCATTCTTTTTCATTGGTATTGCAGATAAAAGTAGAATGAGCTTGTTGATAGCACTAGGTGGGGCAACTTTCTTTGAGAAATTGTAATTCTCGTCTAAATTTTCTTTAAGCTGATATCATCTAGACACTGTATGTAATACGATGCAACTGCTATTCGAGATCTCTCTTCAATATATTGTAAAAAAATTTATCCCATACCTTCTCAGATGAAATGCATCTATGCACGTGAGATGATGAGAATCTCATGGGAAGCCTATCAAATTATACTTAAAAATTGACTTCTTACTAAAATGGACGAGCTAACTTCATTCATCCTTGTTACTTTTTAGCTGTTCGTCATAAATGAAGAAAATTCTGACCATTGTTCCCACCTCCTTTTTGTCTACAGGTGTTGGAGTCCCAGGTGTAAATCTGCTTATTCTATTATTTGCTCTTTGGTACTGCAAAAAAAGGCGCGCTGCTCCAAACATGCTAACAAGAAATATATCTTGTGAACCCTACTCAAAATTCGACCTGGAAGATGGTGATGTGTGCTTTGAAGTTCCTGTTTTCTCATATGGCGAACTCGAAATGGCCACTAACAAATTTGATCGTGATAAAGAACTTGGAGATGGTGGTTTTGGAACCGTATACCATGGTAACAGAACACTTCTTTTTACTCACTTTTGTTGAATTGCGTTTTAAGTAGCATATGAAAAAATTCCATTAGAAACTTGTCTATAACCTTGATTTTTCATCTAACTAGGGAAACTCCTTGATGGCCGGGAAGTTGCCGTGAAGCGCCTATATCAACATAACTATAGACGAGTAGAGCAATTCATGAATGAGGTTAAAATTCTCACCCGCCTTCGCCATAAAAATCTGGTCTCCCTTTATGGATGCACTTCAAAACGCAGTCGTGAACTTCTTCTTGTTTATGAATTTGTTGCAAATGGTACTGTTGCTGATCATCTTCATGGCGAACAAGCAAGTTTTAGCTTGCTCACATGGCCTATTCGGATGACCATCGCTATTGAAACAGCAAGTGCTCTAGTTTATCTCCACGCTTCTGATATCATTCATCGTGATGTGAAGACTACTAACATTCTCTTGGACAGTAATTTTTCTGTCAAAGTCGCTGATTTTGGTCTCTCTAGATTATTCCCAAACGACGTTAGTCATGTCTCGACTGCTCCTCAAGGCACCCCTGGTTACGTTGATCCTGAGTATTATCAGTGTTATCAGCTTACAACCAAGAGCGATGTTTATAGTTTTGGTGTCGTCTTAATCGAGCTTATATCGTCAATGCCAGCTGTTGATATAACAAGGCATCGGCACGAGATTAATTTGTCTAACTTAGCCGTGGACAAAATTTTAAGACAGGAAATTGATGAGCTGATTGATCCATGCCTCGGGTATCAATCAGACGAAAAGGTTCGACGGATGATATTGGCAGTGGCTTGGCTAGCTTTTCTATGTCTGCAGCAAGACAAGGAAAGGAGACCAACAATGGAAGAAGCGCTGGAAACTTTAAAGAGGATTGAGAGTGGGGAAGAAAGCGAGAATTTGCAGGATAATAGTGCACTGTTGAAGAGCTATGATCCAGCTCCTTCTCCAGAGTATGATGAAGTTGAATTGTTGAAGAATAAGAGACAGCAGCTGTTGTCCCCTACTTCTGTTGCTGATAAATGGATCAGCTCAACCTCATTTGTTAGTGCTTCTACTTCTCTATCATCTATTTCCTAATTCTTTCCTTCTCTTTCTTTTTGTTTTAGTTTAATGATAGAAATTTAGATTATGATAATGTTAGGGAGAAATACAATATATATTTGGCTCCCTCTGGAAAACAAAACCTAATAATGTTGCATGTATATCTGTGAATCAATTTTGGCAACTATATACAAGGTAGGGAATGTACATTTACATATAAGAACTATTGAGAAATCGTTCAGCTGCACAAACAAAGATTAACTCTCTTTTTCTCTTCTTGAATTGAATATGGGCCAAACTTAGGCTTGGATTTTGTTAGAGCCTGGAAAGCCCGATGATAAGATTAGAGCATTGACCTGAGTTTTTGTGTCTTCATTGAATGCAAAGGAAGTCTGCAGTGGTCAGAGGTTTATTGGTTGTTTATGCTTTTCAATTTTATTATTTTAGTACTTTTTTAACTTTTATGTGTGTTCTATTCTGTCCTTTTAGATTTGGATCTAACTTCATTATATATTTTGTTTTTCAACTTGAGGGAAAGTAATCTCTATGCTTGCTTACAGGCTTACCTTTTGAAACATTATAGATAGATAGGAAGAACGAAAATGTTTCTTCTAGTTGTATTTCATTATGAAAATAGGGGTCGAGACTATAACCGCCCGAACCCACTTCTAGCAGATATTGTTCACTTTAACCCGTTATGTATCGCCGTTAGCTTCACGGTTTTATAACTCAGTCTATTAAGGAGAGGTTTTCACACCTTTATAAGGAATACTTTATTCTCCTCTCCAATCAATGGGGATCTCACAATTCATCCACCTTGGGGTCTAGTGTACTCGCTGACACATTGTCTAGTGTCTGACTCTAATACTATTTGTAACAGTTCAAGCCCATTGTTGACAAATATTGTCTGTTTTGACTTGTTAAGTATCGTCATTGGTCTTACGATTTTAAAAAGTTTCTACACTCTTATAAGAAATGTTTCATTCCCCTTCCGACCAATACGAGATTTCACATGACTTTCAACTATACGTAACTGAATCAAATCTTTGATCGAAAATATGTTATTTATGTTAGTTGAGTTAATGAGCAAATTATATTCTTATAAGTAGAGTATATTGTTAATAAAGTTTTGGTCAAAGGATAATGAAGGAGAGTGATAAATGAAAGACCAAAATGCAGCTGGTGGTAGAGGAGTGATGGAGACATTTGGTCACTACTACTTTCATTTGGGGACATAATCAATCTTCCTTACATGTCCTTTTCCCATATCAACTCCCAACCCTCATCCACATATTTCATTTTCCTTTTTAGGTCAATTACAGGTCAACCGGTTGAATTGTCAAGTTGTTCGTTTTATAAGTCACAATCCATCAATAACATAAAAGATTTTAACCTGACCTAATCTTACTGTCATATGAACACTCTTACTGTTAGTTATTCGTCACGTCATGTTAACAATATTATAAAAGATTTTAACCCGATCCAATTTTACTGTCATATGAACACCCTTACGGTTAGTTATTCATCACGTCATGTTAACTCATCTAAAATATTATATGTAAAGTCACATTGGATACCTTGGCAATAATATAAATTGAAAATAGAAACCCGTAATTAGGGAGAAAATTTGGATCTAAATGACTCAATTATTAAGCTAAGTAATAGACCATCACATGCTAATCTACTTAATTAGTGAAAATTTTAGATTATTCAATCCAATTTTTAATTTTACTTAATTCCAAATAAAAGTAAAATAAGTCATCCACGTGCTAATCACGCCTTTAACTTCTCGTAATTTGTGACTTTAATTAATCAAAAGCTTAACCTCTTTTTTTTCTCTTACCTATTTAATTACTGTCATTATTGTCTACTTAATTTGACTCCATTCATGACATTTAATAAAGTCATTTAAAAACTAAAAATACCAATAAATATATATATATATATATATATATATATATATTTAATTACTGTCATTATTTGTTGAAGGTGAGTAGGTGACTTCGAGGGGTCTTGACTTGCTTTGTATTGAGTTGGTTAGACTAATTAGACTTATTGTTTCCTAATTGTACCTCCTCAACTCGACAAGCTCCACGAGCCTCATTATGGGCTATAGGTCTCTAATCCTACTCATAACAATATCTCTTATTTCTTAAGGTTCGTCTCGAATTTATCTTCCTACTAAAGCGTTGACATAAGAATCTAGTCTCAAGTCCTTGTTAACTTTGTAGTCGAAATATAGAATAAAAATGTCGAACTGCGCTGCAATGGAGATGGTCACACTCGTGTAGGTGATGTACCAAACATGTTCATACGCTCACGTCAACAATTAGACTACGTGAGGTCTCTCATCGGTTGGAGAAGTGAACAAAGTATTCCTTACAAGGGTGTAGAAACCACTCCCTAATGGACACGTTTTAAAACCTTAAGAAAAACTACAAAGAGAACAATATTTACTAACAGTGAGCTTGAGCTGTTACATAAACAAATGGGTAACAAAGGCTTCAAGAGTTCGTTAGACTAATTAAGCTTGCTACTCCTTGATTGTACCTCCTCAGCTCGACAAACGTTACGAGCCTTGTGGTCGGGTGTTGGCTACATGTCTCTAACCCTACTCATAACAATATATCTAAGTTCTTAAGGATGGAGGTTAAATTAAATAATAATAATAATAATAATAAAATGATAACTAAAATTAATCATGATTAATAAAAATATTAAACTAATAATGTTGTTTAGAGGCACGTGCCTATGAAGTGCTTGAGATTTCCACATCATTGTCGTGCGATTACAGAAAAACATGCGAACTTTTTTCTCACACGTGTCATCTTTTTTACTTTTTTTTTTAAATTAAAAAATCGTACCATGCAAAGCCTTTTCCTCAAGCCTTTCCAAACAATTAAATTTAATTATTAATAAATAATAATAATAAAATTAAAATTACATAAATATTAAATTAAAAAAGGTCATCATTCCACCAACTATTCCTACCCCCACTCCACGTGCAAAAGGCAATGAGCTCAGATACCAAAATTAAAAAAAATTGTAAATTCGTAATTTTCAATCCAATAATTAAAAAAACCAAACAAAAGATTTTAAGGATATTTGTTTTTATTAAATCAAATGATTGAACAAATATGTTCATCCACATTATAATTTGAGTATTGATTTTTCATTCAATCTCTGTGTTTTAAACCAAACTGAGATTGAAATCATTGAAATTTTTAATTGGGTATTTGGATTTCACTATTTGCAATAGTTTTTCCAATCGGTTATTTGTTACTTTAATTTGTTGGATGAGAAAAAGGGTATTCGAAGCGAAACTAACTTTTGGATGAGAGAGAATTCTTCTATTGCTTTTACAGCAAAGCCACTTTCTCCCTCACTTTCCCAGAAAACCCATTTTAAGCACCTGAAAATCCCCAAGTTTCATAGATTTTAAGGGTTGATTTGGTGTTTAGGGACGGAATTTGGAGGAATCTGAACTGGGTTTTGCTCATAAATCTTGATTGTTTTGTGGGTATCTCTTCAATTTTTGAACAATTTCGTGGTTCTAGTTTTGTGATCTTGTTTCCCTTTTGGGGTTTCTTTGTCTTAACCAGATCTGTTCTTGATCTTCACGCGACACGCCGCAAGACATTCTTCTTGTTCTTGTCTGGTTGGATCTTTGTCGTCTGCTTGTTTAACTAATTTCTAGTGAAATCTGCACTTGGGTTTTCTTTGGAGTGTGGATTGTTTTGAAATCTTGCGCCCTGAGAGCTGAGGGCTGAGGGCGTGAGTTTTTCTTTGGTGTTTTAATGGCTTCCAGAGAAGGGAGGCGTCGCCATCATCATCATCATAATCTGGTGCCTCTTGCTGCTTTGATCGGTAAAGAGGTGAGGAATGAGAGATTGGAGAAGCCGACTATAAGATATGGGAGTGCTGCGCAGTCTAGGAAGGGGGAGGATTATTTTCTTATGATAACTGATTGTCAGCGAGTACCTGGGAACCCTTCATCCACTTTTTCTGTATTTGCTGTAAGTTCTTTCCCTGTTCTTGTTTTTTATGAGTTTGATTTCGTGAAAGTCCTTGTGTGTCTGTTTATTTGTTCATCCATTGTCTTGTAACATGAACTTGAGGCTTGTTTACTGTTTGGATTGCTCTGGTTTCTTTGTGATTGAGGGGTCTTTTTTATGAACTTCAAGTGTTTCATTAGATTTTGTAAATGGGTTCTGGAGATTTCCTCTGTTCCAATTGGTTGTAGTTGATCGAAACTGTAACGGTCCAAGCCCACCGTTAGTAGATGTTGTTCTCTTTAGATTTTTCCTTTCGGGCTTCCCCTCACAAAGAATGTTTCGTTCTCCTCTCCATCCGACGTAAGATCTCACAATTCACCTCCTTCGCGGGCTCAGAGTCCTTACTAGCACACCGCCTCGTGTTCACCCTCTTTCGGGATGCCTGGCTTTAATATCATTTGTAACCGTCCAAGCTCACCAGTAGCCGATATTGTCTTCTTTGGGCTTCCCCTCAAGATTTTTAAAACTCGTGTGCTATGGATGTTGCTTTGTAGTTTTTCATGTTGATCACTATTTACTTCTGCCTTCAGATATTTGATGGACACAATGGAAATGCTGCTGCAATTTTCACCAGGGAACATTTGTTGAGCCATGTCTTAGGTGCACTTCCTCGTGGCCTCGGGCAGGAGGAGTGGCTTCAAGCTCTACCTCGAGCTTTGGTTGCTGGATTTGTGAAGACGGACAAGGAGTTTCAAAGCCGAGGTGCGGGAATTGTTCGCTGGCCTCGACGATAGTTTATTCTCTTTTTCAATGGCCTGCAGTCTGATCCATACTCGTTCTTTGATTCCCATTTTGAATGTTTAACAGGTGAAACTTCTGGAACGACAGCTACGTTTGTAATCATCGATGGATGGACAGTGACAGTAGCGTCGGTTGGAGATTCTCGATGTGTTTTAGATACTCAGGGTGGTGCTGTCTCTGCATTAACGATCGATCATAGACTTGAAGATAATGTTGAAGAGTATGTTTCCTTTTTCAATCCAATGCTATCGTTTTTGCATCGTGCTAACTGGCTAAGTGATTTGGGCGTCGATACAGGCGAGAACGTGTGACTGCCAGCGGTGGGGAGATCGGAAGATTAAGCATTGTTGGTGGTGCTGAGGTGAAGCAAGTTCTTAACTGTTGGACAAATAAAAGCTTTGTAGAAGTTTAAAGACTTGTTTAATTTCCCTTTGTGTATTTGCTTCAATGTTACAGATCGGTCCGCTCCGGTGTTGGCCTGGAGGCTTATGCCTTTCTCGATCGATCGGAGACCGGGACGTTGGAGAGTTTATAGTTCCGATTCCATTTGTTAAACAAGTGAAGGTATTGACATAATTCTGATTTGTAACATAGCCAATCAATCTTGTATATGTAACGTTTCTAAAATACTTGTTTGGTCTAATCTAAAGTTATCAAATGCTGGTGGGAGGCTTATAATTGCTTCGGATGGCATCTGGGACGCCCTATCATCGGATATGGCTGCAAAGTCCTGCCGTGGACTACCGGCCGAGCTCGCAGCTAGGCAAGTCGTGAAGGTAATTTAAGCGACCTTGATGTCGGATTTTCACTTTCCAGCATCTTTTTTGTGAGAACCCATGTTGGTTGGAGTGGAGAACGAAATATTCCTTATAATGGTGTGAAAATCTCTCCCTAACAGATGCGCTTTAAAACTGTGAGGCTGACGGTGATATGTAACGGGCCAAAGCAGACAATATCTGTCAGCGGTGTATTTGGGTTGTTACAAATAGTATTAGAGCCAGTCACTGGGTGGTGTGCCAGCAAGGACGCTGGCCCCAAGAGGGTGGATTGTGAGATCCCATATCGGTTGGAGAGGGAGAACAAAACATTCCTTATAAGGGTGTGGAAATATCTCCCTAACATACGTGTTTGTTACAAATGGTATCAGAGCCAGCCACTGGGCGGTGTGCTAGCGAGGACGTTGGGCACCGAAGTGGGATGGATTGTGAGATCCCACATCGGTTGGAGAGGAGAACGAAGCATTTCTTATAAGGGTGTGGAAACAACTTCCTAACAGACGGTTTAAAATCGTGAGGCTGATAGCGATACGTAATGGGCCAAAACGGACAATATCTGGTAGCTGTGGGCTTGGACTGTTACAAATGGTATCAGAGCTAGACACCAAGCGGTGTGCCAGCGAGGAAGCTGGGCCCAAGGGGGTGGATTGTGAGATCCCACATCGGTTGGAGAGAATAACAAAACATTCCTTATAAGGGTGTGAAAACCTCTCCCTAGTTGACGCGTTTTAAAACCGTGAGGCTGACGACGATACGTAATGGGCCAAGTGAACAATATCTATTAGCAGTAGATTTGGGTGTTACATTTTCTTCTCGTATTGAATGATTTTGAAGTTTGATTTCCATGATCTGTTCAGGAAACGTTAAGAACAAGAGGGTTGAAAGATGATACAACCTGCATAGTTGTAGACATAATTCCTCCTGATAACTCAGCTCAGTCTTCTCCTCCTCCAAAGAAACAAAGCGTTCTGAAATCTCTATTATTCAGGAAAAAGTCTCACAGTTCTAATAAGTTATCGAAGAAACTATCAGCTATCGGTCTCGTGGAAGAACTATTTGAAGACGGCTCTGCCATGCTGGCTGACAGGTTCGTCTTTCCTCTCTTGCTTGTGATTATCTACATCGATGACAATGTCCTAGATCTAGCGGTTCGATTAACAGATCATTATAACTTGTTTGGTTAGATATCGTTTAGTTAGAAAGATGAGGTGGTGCGTCATATCACCTCCCTTCAAGGCTCAGCCTCCTCTTTGGGACATTGCTCGATGTCTAGCTTTGATACCATTTGTGACAATCTAAGCCCACCTCTAGCAGATATTGTCCTCTTTGGGGTTTCTCTCAAGGTTTCTAAAACGCGTATGCTAGGAAGAGGTTTTCACACCCTTAATAAAGAATATTTCGTTCTCCTCCCCAACTGATGTGGGATCTCACAATTCTTGCTGGCACACTGTCTTATGTCCACCCCCCTTCGAGACTCAGCCTCCTCTTTGGCATATCGTTTGGTGTCTGACTCTGATATCATTTGTAACCGCCCAAGCCCATCTCTAGCCGATATTGTCATCTTTGAGTTTTCTCTCAAGGTTTTTAAAATGCATTTGCTAGGGAGAGAGTTCCACACCCTTATAAAGAACAATGTTTCGTTCTCCTCCCCAACCAATATGGAATTTCACCATCCACTCCCCTTCAGGGTTAGTGTCCTTATTGGTACACTGCCTCGTGTCCTCCTCTCTTGGGGCTAAGATACCATTTGTAACAGCTCAAACTCATTGCTAGCAGATATTGTCCTTTTTGGGCTTTCCCACAAGGTTTTTAAAACGCGTCTGCTAAGGAGAGGTTTCCAATACCCTTATGAAGAATGTTTCGTTCTCTTCTCCAACCGATATAGGATCTCACAAGAACCTGTGTCGGCATCTACATTGATGACAATGTCCTAGATCCAGCGGTTGTTTGGCTTGATATGGTTTAATTAGAAAGATGAGGTGTTGTTGCAGGCTTGGAAGTGTAGAGTTGAGCGGATCAAGACATGACACACCCAGCCTATTCACTTGTGCTGTATGTCAAGTGGATCTTGCTCCAAGTGAGGGCATCTCTGTTCATGCTGGTTCCATCTTCTCCACCAGTTCAAAGCCATGGCAAGGCCCTTTCCTGTGTGCCGATTGTCGAAACAAGAAGGACGCCATGGAAGGAAAACGTCCGAGCGGGGTGCGAGTGGCGTAGATTGATCACTTCATTGATTCTTTCTCTACTTTGGATCTATCTAGCTCTACGGGGCGAGTAGGTCGTTAAAGATATAGTATGCAAAGGAAGATGCTTAATAAGGAGTAGTACCCATTAAAGTAATAAGTAAATAGCTAATGTTACAATGAGACTTTGACTAATTCAGAAATTTAAAATTGTCTGTATATTACAAAGCTCTCTTTTTTCCTTTGTTTATTTTATTGAATGATTCTAAGTCGTAAATTTGCAAATTGGGACGTGAAGCTATTAGTACTTAAGCAACTTGAGAACTCGAACTAGCTCACCCTGAATTATAAGAGTTGAGTAGGGTTGTTTTTTTAGGACCCGATTCGATATGGGTTCAATGTGCAAAGAATCGAGTCAATCTGACCCAACTTGATTAAATTGAAGAGATAGAGAAAGACTATGTTGAGAGAGGTCATACCCAAACTTCTTGACCCAACTCGAGTACTACCACGGTAGTACACCTCATTGCGTCTCGTCTCCCTCTCCCATCAATGTCATACACCTTGACTACCATTCCACAAGTGCTACAGTCAACTCGCGTTGCATTTGTTAGATTTCAGAATTCTTTACAATGGTATGATATTGTCCACTTTAAGCATGAGTTCTCGTGACCCTTTCCCAGTACTCTCCACAAAATTACCCAATGTGGACTCCCTCCCAACAATCTCTCATTCTTGAGCCTCGACCCACTGCCAACCGTGACTGTTCCACTCTCATTCTTCTTCTTTTTCGAGTTTCGTTCTTTGTTCTTCGACAACTCTAGGCGCCTCTTTCATTAATTCTAGAAGCTCCCGAACGTTAAATACTTTTACGATTATTTCATATATTTGCCTTGGAAAATGCATTCCCACTCTTTTTCTTTATTAATTTATTTATCCACACATTTGGGGCATTTTTCAACACAATTTTTACCTTTTTTTTTTTAAATATTTTTATTTATTAATTAATTTAGTATTTAATATTTATCATCCCAACTAGCTTCCAAAAAGTTCCATAAAGTTGAACCGATTAAGTTGGCGATGCTGATTGCTTTGACTTAGCTTTATTGAATTTATGCGTAAAAAATGCTTTAGGGTTTTTAATTAAACTAATCCAAGTAGGTTAAGGGTTGTTCGTATTTAAATTTTGAACGTTAGCTAACCAAATAAAGGGGAATGAAGAAAAATAACATGTTATAATAGTCCAAGTCCACCGCTAGTAAATATTGTCTAATTTAATCCATTACATATCGTCATCAGCTCACTGTTTTAAAACGCGTATACTAGGAAGATGTTTCTACACCCTTATAATAAATGTTTCATTCCTCTCTCTAACTAATGTGAGATTTCACAATTCACCCCCTTTAGCTAAAGTCAAAGTCTACCATTGTCCATTTTGACCGGTTACGCTTAACCCAAATGTTCTGTACATTATTATTTTTTAAATTTAAATATTAATGAATAGTTGACCGTTGACATTGGATTAAAAGGCGTGTATTGTAAATAATTAGAGGAATTAATAATAAATAAATAAATAAATACAGTCATTACAACTTAAAAGGCTGTTACAATGATTATATTTTTTTATATTTAAATTGTGGAAAATAGAAAACGACAATAATATGACAATTGGATATTATATATATATATATATATAATAAATAAATATATTAACATTAATAAATGACCTTCTTTCAACTCTTTGCCATTTTCTTTCATTTGTTACAATAAATAAATAAATAAATAAATAAATAAATAAATAAACTATATATATATACACTGATTAATTAATAAATATAATTTAATTTAATTTAATTTAAAAAGAAATGTATTAACCTAATCCAACAATACTCCAGTATTAATGGGAGGAGATGGATTAATTAAATGCATCTTAATTAAATTAATTAAGAATAAAGTTAAGAAGTCCCACGTGGCGAAGGATTTGCATTAAACTTACAGAAAGGGTGGAATCTTGTGTGCTGCAGCACCCTCAAACGTCGTGTTAAATACACCGAGATCCAGCACGCGCGTCAGAGCCTCGTGTTGTGTACGAACCATCACGTGTTTCTTATGATTGTGGAGCGTGGTTCTCACGCTGCATACAAAGTTCCTTTGCAGTCTATTTATTAATTATAATTATTTTCACGACCAGAAATGGAATCCTCATTAACTATTTTCCACGTGTCACCGTTTCCCGTTTTTTCCTGTTAGGGTCGTAACAGTTAACAACGTTGCCCTATCAACTTCATTCTCCTCTCATAATAATAATAATAATAATAGACTATTATTATTATTATTACTATAAAAAATATATTTTATTTTATTTGTCGGGTTAATCTAACCCATCAAATTAATTTGAAAATAGAGTTACAATCCCGTGAGTTTTGAATGTTTGATATTTGAGTTAGTTGATAATATATGATTTATGTTAATTGAACTATACTCATGTTGACTAATTTTAGATAGTTTATAATTTTTAAATGAAATAAATGTATTTTGTGATTTATTGAGACGTTTAAAATTATCTCCGCTTTAAATTCAAATGAAAAATTCTTTGAAAATTTGACATTTATATACGTTTTTTAATTATGAAAATTATTAATGTTTTAATAAATTATTTAAAAGAATTCCGTATTTATATATGTTGAATGAAAGTCCCACATTAATCGAACGCGACTCCAAATTATAAAATTAAATTATAATTTTTTTTTTTATAATTTAAATTGACCCCCAGTAACTTCTTTCCATTAAACCAACGGTAAATTTTTGGGAAGGGGTTGTGTTACCCTGAGGCATATTTTTTTTTATCTCGCAGTTAATACGGTACACGTTACAAGCTTTTTCAGTTCCTCACACTGAAAGTGTCCGGCTCAGTCAATAGTAAATTATTGTTGTATATTACAATTCTGCCCTTTTATTTTTCAGTAATTACATCACTGCCACTTTCCTTTCCGTTACCTTTCTTCTTACGTCCTCTCTTCGCTTTACAGGTCTAAAACCCTTGTCCCTTTCTCTCCCAATTCTCATTTTCCCCTCTCTGAGAGTTTTCTTGCAGAGCAACAATGGCGGCGGCTACATTACTGTCGCATTTCGCTATTTGTCTCTGTTTACTCCCTTTTACACATCTTTATGCTTCTTCGAACTCAGATTTTGACGCTTTAATGGCGTTCAAAGTGGCGTCTGATGAAGGGAATAGGCTTACCACATGGAACTCTACTTCGAACCCGTGCGCTTGGAATGGAGTCTCTTGCCTCAGAAACAGAGTCTCGAGGTTAGTTCTTGAGAATCTTGATCTTACAGGCTCTCTTGCACCTCTTACTGGTTTGACTCAGTTACGAGTGTTGAGCCTTAAGCGGAATCGTCTCTCTGGTTCCGTTCCTGATTTCTCCAACTTCACCGCTCTCAAACTCGTGTTTCTCTCGTATAATCAATTTTCCGGCGTTATTCCGGCGTCTTTGATGTCTCTTGTCCGTCTCTACCGTCTTGATCTCTCTCACAATAACTTCACCGGACAGATTCCGGCCTCTGTTAACCGTTTGTCTCATCTTCTTACTCTCCGCCTCGAAGAAAACCGGTTTTCTGGTCCTGTTTTGGAACTGAACCTGCCGAATCTTCAGGATTTCAATGTTTCAGCGAACCGTCTCTCAGGTCAAATCCCTAAATCGTTGTCGACGTTTCCGGCGTCTTGTTTCGGCCAGAACTTGGGTTTGTGTGGATCTCCTCTACAGAGCTGCAATGGCATAGTTACTAACCCGACGGAACCCGGATCCGAAGGAGCCATTGCGTCCCCCATAACACCGCCGCGGAATCTAACAGTTTCATCTTCTCCGACATCGCTTCCCGGAGTTGCGCCGGAAAGCACCCACCACAAAGGCACCGGGAAGATAGGTTCTCTGGCGCTAATCGCTATAATTCTCGGCGATGTATTGGTGTTGGCAGTAGTCTCGCTTCTTCTCTACTGCTATTTCTGGAGAAACTCCTCCGACAAATCCCGAGATAGGAAGGGGCCGAAGCTTCTTGAGAGCGAGAAGATCGTTTACTCGTCGAGTCCATATCCAGCTCAGGCTGGAACAGAGAGGGGTCGGATGGTGTTCTTCGAGGGAGTCAAGAAGTTCGAGCTCGAAGATTTGCTTCGAGCCTCCGCGGAAATGCTCGGAAAAGGTGGGTTCGGAACTTCATACAAAGCGATTCTCGACGACGGCAATGTCGTGGCAGTGAAACGGCTGAAAGACGCGCAGGTCGGAGGTAAACGAGAGTTCGAGCAGCACATGGAGGTGCTGGGAAGGTTGAAACATGAACATATTGTAAGCTTGAGAGCTTACTATTTTGCGAGAGAGGAGAAGCTTTTGGTTTATGATTACATGCCCAATGGCAATCTGTTCTGGCTTCTTCATGGTACTGTGATTTTGCATAAAATCCGTCATTATAATGCCTTTTTTCTTCTGGGTTTCTTTTCAATTTGATTTCTAATGAACAGAGTTCTTCCCTGTGGTGTTTTTTTGACTGTTCGACAGGAAACAGAGGCCCTGGACGGACGCCGTTGGACTGGACGACGAGGTTAAAGATCGCCGCCGGAGCAGCCAGAGGTCTGACCTTCATTCACAACTCCAGTAAGTTTCTCAGGCTTGTTCATGGCAATGTGAAATCCACTAACATTCTTCTGGATCAATCGGGAAATGCTCGAGTTTCCGATTTTGGACTGTCCCTTTTCACTCCCCCTTCCACTCCTCGATCCAACGGCTACCGTGCGCCGGAGTGCGGCGAAGGTCGGAAACTGACGCAGAAATCCGACGTGTATTCATTTGGGGTTCTACTTCTCGAGCTGTTAACTGGAAAGTGTCCTTCTGTGGTGGAGAATGGTGGGCCAGGAGGCGGTGGATACGGCGGCGTGTTGGATTTGCCGCGGTGGGTTCAGTCAGTGGTGCGGGAGGAGTGGACGGCGGAGGTTTTTGATTTGGAGCTGATGAGATACAAAGACATTGAAGAGGAAATGGTGGGGCTGCTGCAGATTGCATTGACTTGTACTTCGGCTTCGCCGGATCAACGGCCGAAAATGATCCATGTGGTGAAGATGATCGATGAGCTTCGTGGGGTGGAGGTGTCGCCGTTCCATGACGGCTCCGACTCGGTGACGGACTCGCCGTCGGTGTCGGAGGGGACTTGCGGCGGCGACGGAGGAGGAGCCAGTAGTCAGTAAACGA